CTTATTGGTTTCCTACTCAGGAACTTCTACAGAAGTGAATGCAGAATACTACTGTAAAAGGTTTGTGTGCGCACACTCCTAGATTACTGCTCATTCATACTTAGAAGTACACGCATAGAGGACAAACTGAAAGTAGAAGAAGTACTGAGGTACTTCACGCTAAAAGTACTTGAAACCGATAACGGCACAAACTACTTTACCAGATGTGAAATACTAGGACTAGAAACATTATGGTTAAGAGGAATGCGACTAAATCTGGTACTCTTCTATAAGCTTTTTAACCACATAGTGTATACCCCTGCTAATTATACTCGGTTCTCAGAAGACATTGGATATAACCTTAGACACACTAAAGATACATTGGCTATAGAACCACGCAAAACACCCACCAGGCAAAAGTTTTTCTTGATTAGGTATGCTCAAACATGGAACAAACTACTTACGGAAATGCGACTAGCAAGCACATTGGCCTCCTTTGAAAAGGCGCTTAATGACGCACTGAGTTAGCAAGTGATACCAGTGCTTATTCCCACGTGAGAGTTTCAGGAATCATAGGTCCATTTATTGTATGAACTTAGAGACTACACCTGTTGTTTATTTTGCTTCTATCTATAATTCCAGACAAAAAAGCAGCAGTCATGACAATAACGCCCATTCAAGTAAAAGTCGATCGAACTATATCTATCTGATACAAAGGGTGAACCATAACCAACATACGAACGAAATATGAGAAGACAAGGTCGAAACTTTCCCAACACCACATTGAAAAATAAAAGTTACTTGGACATCATTTATAATCCACCAACTGGTCTCCTTTCCAAAAAGAATGCGGCGATGTTTTATCCACAGTGGCGAGGAAATACATAAATCCACGGATGCTGTTGTAAACACTCAGTGGAGGTAGGAGCCAACAAAGTAATGCATTTAAAGCAGATGTGTACTTCCCATGGTCACCGCGACACTCTGCGGAGTATGTCAAAATCCAAATCACTGCCTATACAGCGCCAATAAACCTGGATATCTATGAAATAACGAAAACGTGCTGACAACTGCATCTAATATCACACTGATTCATTCGATGCCTTACTCAAAATTTTGTATGGAATGGTTCGCGGTCATTCTGGTTCCAGATCGAAAAGAATAAAATATTCACCGGTAGCTGAATCAATATTACTTCTCTGCATGTTTAACTGTATTCTAACTGCTGTGGTAAGCCTTTTGCAGATTATGTTACATAAAACATCGTTTACGGTAAACTCACTATCGTTTTACAAGCCATTTTTATACTTTTTTAAGTAGCCCACCATATTGACAAATGTAACGCAACACTCATTTGTTACGCGCATTTTTGACAAATTCAGACAATAATGGTTCCTAGGATTGTATCATATAAGTTGTTTCAACCTATGCGAAGTGCTTTTACTATCATTATTCCATTATCCTTCCTTGTATATATATCTCGTGTCAGTGAAAAAATTTTAAACATGCTTGCTCTATGTGTACATTATCACCATATTGATGATTCCTGTCAACTATCATGTGCATTAAAAGACAGTATATTATTATACGATTCATTTTATTGTTATGTTAGGAAATCGACTTCAAGCTTTATCTATTTTCCCAAGCATCTGTAATCCATCCAACGGATACTTGGGTTTTTTTGTTAATGCGAAGTCAATATCTCTTTATGTGGTCCATTGAATCAGTAGTTATCAGATATTTTCCACAAACTAAAAACAAAATGATAGCAACCGTAAATCGTGTAATTTAAACAATACTTTTGCATGCCTATACAACTGGTGTATACTACATAGCTATTAAAAAATATGTACCCGATTATATTATCTTTACTAACTATGCTTACTAATCGTATGTGTAACTTACCGAATTGATGATGCCTAAAAACCGACGTCCCTCATGTACAAAAATGAGAATATGCATTATTACTATTAAGGTATTCGAACTACTGTCAAGCTCATAACTAGTCAGTTTTGTTGGCCAGGTATTGATAAAGAAGTATGGGAATGGGCAAACATGTGCTTAGATTGCCAAAATTGCAAGGTAGTAGACACACAAAAAGTCCTCTTGGCACCTTTCTTCTCCCTGACACTTGTTTTGAACGCGTTCATATGGATTTGGTTAGACCCCTCCCAGAATCTCATGGATGAACCTATATGTTAAACTGCATCGACCGTCTCACACGATGGCTTGAGGCAGTACCCATCAAGGATGTATCTGCCGAAACAGTCGCACACCTCTTTGCCGTAAGGTGGGTCGCAAACTTTGGATATCCATCCTCCATAACAACCGATCGCAGGCGGCAATTCGAAAGCGGCTTTCTCTTCACCCTGACTAAAATCATAAGTTCAATGCGTTTTATAACAACAGCCTACCATTTTCAAGCTAATGGTATGGCAGAGCGTCTACATAGACTTTTGAAGGCTGGGTTGTCAGCTGCAAACAATACCCATTGGACTAAATCACTTCTCTTAGTTCTCCTAGGGATACGAAACGCCCTGAAAACTGATGCTGGTGGTACTAACACCGAGCTAGTATATGGCACAACATTACGACTGCTAGATGAGTTTATTTCTCCCTCGACCTTCCCACCAGCGGTAGATTGCGCCTCATACGTCAGCAGGCTTACAAACGCAATGCGTTCAATTAAACTAGCTCCCCTTCGACAACAGTCCATAGACGTCTTTGTTCACCCGTGTTTAAAATCTTCACATGTATTTGTTCGTCGTGACTCTGTGCGTCGACCTTTTGAACCCCCATACGATGGATCACATAAAGTCATCAAACGTATTGATAAATTCTTTGCCTTAGACAAAAATGGTCGCGAAGACACCATCAGCATCGATCATCTGAAACCGGCCTTTTTGGAAGGCAGTCCTATTAGCCTAAAGCTGAGCATTCCCAATAATCCACAAGTAACCGAATATCCTTTAGCCCTCGAAGAAATCACCAGCACGGAGAAAGCCAGTGAACCTGCTGTCGAGCCTTAATGAAAACGCGCTCTGTACGTAACGTAAGATTCCCAGAATACCTCCGCACCTATACCACATAACTAAAAGGTGCGATTTGCCCAACTCAATCATTTGTGGTATAAATTACTATTTTTTCTTTTCAGAGACATCAATTATTTTATACTGTATCCGGAAACACAAGTAAAAAATTTTCCTATAACCGTACATGTTACATGCACTAAAAAGATTAGATGTATACTCTTTTTCTCGATATTCTATTTTTCGCACTATGTTACTGTATAGTAGATTCACGTCATTATTCAAACGTTATTTTAGATACATCTTCCTCAACTAGGTTCTTAGCATTCTTGTTTTCTTTTCCAGGTGCGACGGGAACTGGATAAGAAGCAAAGGAAGCACGAGATCCAACGAAGAAACATCAAGGAAGTGATATGCAGACACCGTATTAGTATAGGTAGACGACGAGCGGGCATCCCACCAAACCATTCCGAAGAATTTTTAACCAATGAGGAACGGTCGAGGTTTATTTTACTTCCGGCAGGTTCTGTCTTAGGGTCCTCACAAACCCACTAGAAGGGGAAAGAGCTGCAGCAGTAAATAATTCCCCAAAATTATTGACCACAGCAATCATCACTGAATATTGGATGCCGACCCTCACTGTTTAAGTCGACTTGTCTAGCTGGAGGCTTCCGGTCAGGCATCCACGCCATTCGGTACTCCGTCGAGTCATGTTTGTGCACGATCACTAGCCAGTTAAGCAATCATCTCGGTCTACGATTTGGTTCCGAAATATATCTCGTAATTTGGAAAATCAAGCAGTCTCTTTTGCTTTGCCTTTGGTCCACGCGGAGCGAATACTATAGAAGTTGTTGGTATTAGATCTTGCGTTAGTATACTCCGTACAATCCGCGAACGTCGATACCGTCAGCCTCTGAAAACCTCTTTAGCTACTTGAATAATTCGCCTCCTCCTTGTGTATACTTGAACTCTTAAGAGGTGATTGAGCAACCTAAGTTCAACATCGTTTTAGAAGGTATATCTAATGAACGTGGTAAATCATCTTCAAGTCCTTAACATTATTACTTATTTCTGTGAGGTGAGTCTGTAGGCTTAGAATATACTTAAAGGAGAATGAGGTGTGTTGCCGGACCTATAATAAATTGTATCATTATTAGTAGCAAAAGGTTATTCTCTGAATAAAAGCCACTGCATGCGCAAAGTCAATTTGGGAGTGGCATAAGCAATAGCGAGTCGCAGCATAGTTTTTAAAGAGATATGCCACTATGGAGGCTCAGTGACAAAATCAACTGTAGACCAAAAACGAAAGATTAACAATCACTTAGTCAGTCAAAGCATCCACCAACTTCCAATTCCAGTGTTACTCATGAAAGACATTGCTGACATATATGACAACTATCTTAACAGTCTACGACTCCGGAAAATGTCAATAAACTTAGGCAATCTGAGAGAATTATCGTGGACCACACTATGTCATCACCCTGAGTTCACTACAGTAACAAAAAACAGCTAGCTAGACCAAACACATACAAATGCTTCCTTAACATGAGCTCAAAAAGTCAGCTACAATACCTAACTTACAGAACATACATTGGATATTGGCGGTAACAATGCAATTTCTTTTACTATTCTGGTTGAGCACATTACGTTACGTTACGTTTCCTATTTTCGTTTCTGTCTCTTAGTCTGAATAGCTTCACTAATTATATCTATTATTATTATTATTATTATTACTATCTCTTTTCTCTTGTCGACAATACCGAAGGACTAACTGGAGAAAGGATCAACTCCAATCACAGTAGTAACAGTCTTAACATACCTCATACTACAAACCACATATAATTAATCCCAGCACTACTCCCTTTGGAGTCAACCAAAGCTACGACAGTCGAGTGGCGGGACAAGCTACGCAGAAGTTTACCGAAGATCAAGAACCTATACCTCACAATCAAGAAGCGAGCACAAAGAAATCAAATTGGTTTATACTAGCTCGTAAAAACGATATTGGATATTGGATCCGAAATAAACGGTCCTGACATGTGTTACCGTGCTCCTTTGTTTTATACTTTTTGTTTCTGTTTATTTATTATAAGGCCAGCTCTTGCTGGACAAAGAGATCATGACAGAATTGATTTTCTACCTGGAGTATGGCCAATGCCATACTTTATACAGTACTCGGGTTATCTGCATGGTTCGACTAGCAACATCAGATTGCATTACTGGTTGGTTGAGGCGAAAGTTAACCCCAAAGGATTTCCACTTTTGCTTTGGTTGAATGGTGGACCTGGATGCTCGTCCATGGAGGGAATTTTCAGTGAAAACGGACCTTACAATGTGAGTTAAAAAGCCATATGCCTGGAAAGCACATATATATCTCTGTAATTTAACAATATAAAATAATTTTTTTCACCTTAAAAATGGCGTAATTTTTGTAAGGTCTTATCACACACTTCTATTTCATATTCAAGGCCTAGGGATTTAGATCATCTTGAAGTGAATTAGTGTGGCACTCTTTTCCGATTTACTCATTCGACTTTCAGCTGTATGTTCGCAGATCTTCCACCTATGGAGTTTTAAGCAACCCTTAATCACGAAAAGACACTGACAGTTACCTGATTCGTTAATATGCACATAACTAATTTCTGTTAACTATTCACTTGACAAACTTAAGCATGTACTAATATAATACTCGATGTTGCACACTCATTCAACCAAACGGTCTAGAGTGGGTTTCGTGTTTATAAACACTAGTTATGTGACAGCCAGTATAGTTAAATACTGGCTGGCTGAAATTAGTTTTGTTTGTCACCGTGGATGCATCAGTAATTATTTTACATTCTTCTAATGAATCTCACCGACTGACATGATTAAATAAGGTGGAAGGGTTTTAGGAGTAAAGTGCTTCGGTAGTGCGAATTAGTTATCACCCGCAGTTAGTATATTGAATATGAAATAAAACCCACGTTAGTAAGTGAACAGTATCGATTCTTTGTATCAACTTAGAGAATGTTTTCTAAGATCTTTCTTTCTTATCCTGACCTTATTCTGGTATATAATAAATACAGGTAGTAACTTTAGATGAAGTTATGTTTCCCACTCACTTACTGAGCATTTGCTTTTTTGAAATAGGTGTTGGAAGGAATAAAGGTGGCGCAGAATTTCTACTCATGGAACAACGTAAGTAACCTTTCTATTGTTTACATAATAGAGATTGACTAACTGGTGTCCAACCAGTGAGGTTGACTTCTTTGTTCTTCTGACGTCAGTTTTTCCACACTTAAAATTTGTGATTCTTTTGCTAAATTGAGTAAAAAGGATTTGTAACCTTATAATGACATAGTAATTCATCATAGTATTTACAACTGCTAAACTTCTGGGCGAAAATGCGTGCATACTTTGTGGTGCATTCAGGCTTAAGTGTAGAGCTGAATGGTTTGAGTGGATCCCGACCCATTACCTGGCGATATATTATAGATTGAAATTTTCCTAATGTATTTGGGGGAAATAAATTGATGTGATTAGCAAAATGTCATATTAAAATTCCGTAAGTATAATAAGACTTCTTGGTTCACTAGACAGTGATGGTGTTTTTCTGTACGTTAGTTTATTTTCTCCTGTGGAGCTGAGGAAGTCGGCTGCACCATGCGCTCGCTTGTATAACACACCTGTGAACACCCAGACTGCCTGCTAGAGAAAGAATAAGGATGAATCCCAAGTTCTATAGCAGGATATCTTTAGAAGACGGGACACTCAACTGCATTTCAGAAATCCCTCAGTATCTTAATGAAGATTCACTCAAACTTGTCTAACAGAGTGAAATCAAAACTTCTGTGCGTATTTGATGAGTGAGTGATCCGAAAGTTGCTCCAACACTATGTGTATGTAAGATAATTATCTAACCGTTGTCTCTTTTATGGCTATCATGGTCATTTTATGAAAACTAAGCATTTCATGTGAATTGTTTCCTAGCCTTTACCCTCACCGTCATGCAAAATTTCCAAGTCACACAACTAGGTTCCTGCTTCTAAATGTTGGTCTATTATAGTGATACAACATATTCATATAATTTCACTTTGTCACCTAGGAAGTAGAATAACAAGCCGTGGACATACACCTTCTTCTTTTGAAAGCAATCTTTCTATCACAAATTGACAATATTGGATACTGGGAGGTTACTTTTCATCATTAATAACTATAAAATTAGTCCAAGTTAAAGGAGGATTACAGGCTGTTCTGAAATGAGGCAGAGTTGACATCTTCTGCATTAAGATGAATTTGAAACTCTCAAGTGATATTCTTAAGCTTTCTCATGTTATTTAGATTTATTGTTGCTTATAAAAGTCAGAAACGCGATTACATACTGCAACATGCTAAAATTTTAAGTTTTATCTAATTACTGTGTTTTTTGAGAGTGGTCACTATCATTGCTATCATAGAAAGATTATTGGTTCGTCTAGTAGTGCTTATCACTTGAAAGTGAAATGCCGGTCATCCCACAGGTGCATTGACATTTTATTCAATAATGAAAATGAGGAGTATACAAAGAATTGTGTGTGATTGGGGGGAAGTACTGTTCATTATCGGAATCCAAACTTAGAACATTTATCAGTCAAACTACCTTCGATTTCTTTCCGAAAGAGTCAGTTTTTGAATAAAACTTAAAATACAACTGTAAATCGCTGGTCAGTAGTGTAAGATTTCTGTCCAAATTTACCAGAAGGGGATTTTATACTGACCAACACAGGATTACTTCTGATAGATGGTAGAGAGATTAGGAGATACTTGATGAGTGGTGATATTGATTTTATCATTGTTCAAATAACTCTTGAGAAGTTTAAAACACAAATGATGACTTTCACTGTGCAATGGTCAGTGTTAGGATATAAAATTAATTAAAAATTTCGTCTTTCATTCTGAAATAAACTTTATTTAAACAGTAAGCGCCTAATGTGTTTCACATCGCTCACATATAAATGATAGATTTATTCAGTGTGAAAACTGACGAACAGATCTGAAGAATTGTGTAACCATGACTAGAATTACACATATTTGGAAAAGATTTAGGTTCAAGTAGCCTACCAAAGTTTTTCCTCTTGAAAATCAAAGATTGACATGTGTGTTCCTTTAAGGGAAAATAAATGCACTGAAAATCGGATGCATTCTTTAGGTCCGATCCTTCAATGTAGCCTGGTGTTTGTCAGAATCCGTCAGTTAGTGAGTAAAAGCACTGTGAATAGAAGACACATCTGAAATGGAACTGACTGTCTTATGCAATAAACTATCGTATCGAGTCACGAAAGTGTAGGTTTAAAAAAAAATTCCATTTATTAGAATACAAATTTGCAGTACTTGAAGTGCATACGCCTTAACATTATTTCGACTGGCTGACGCTATGAACAACTAGTAGTGGGATCATATCGAAACCCATGCAGAATTTCCTCCATTAGTAAGGTTTTTTAAAACTGTTCTGTTCTATTCATTCAAGGTTGTAAAGCTTGTTATATCGCTTATATCTCTAACAAATACGTGTATTTTATCCTTTAGTTTGCTAATGTTCTATATTTGGAAGCTCCAGCTGGTGTGGGATTCTCATATGCCGTGGATAACAATATAACTACAGATGATGACTTTGTAAGTCTTAGCATGTGTTCTGTCGGGAAAGAAAATACTTTACTCATTTGTTTATGTCAAATTCGCTCTATTACAAGTGTTCATGTTGATATATATATATATATATATATATAAGTACTTGTCAGAAAGCAAGTCATTCGTCTTATAAACTTTCCGCATTCATTAGTGTAACTGTACTTAGCCTATCTTGGAGGTAACCAATGGATAGATGGGAATCAGTTATCAACAGTCAATCACCAAAATGTTTATTTCTCTACAATTTTTGTTAAATAGACTTCGTTATACATGAGTACACAACGATGATTCTCAAACTGAAATGAAACAGCTGTCCAGTAGTCCCAAGTTTTCAGTGGTTCTCTTAGTGATATCAATCCATGGTCAAGCTCACTAAAACAAATCTAATCCTTTCGAACCAAGTTTTGAATATTATCTAATTATCATAACGGAAATGTTCATATTCATACTTTGATTGGATACTAGTAACTAGTGTGATGTGTCTAGTCCTTTTTTAGTGCAGACTCAATTCTGTCAGTCAGGTTTGCAATGTGGTCACCATTCTAGGTAGCTTGCCATCACTGATAGAATTCAGTCCGCACTGAAGAAAAGACTAGACACGTCACACTAGTTACTAGTGTCCAAACAAAGTATCCACTATAGTCCTACAGGAGGTCAATCGCGAGCCCGAATAGCTCAGTGATAACGTCTCGGACTGCAGCGGGTTCGAATCTCAGAAGGCATATGGGTTCCTTCGAGGTTGCAGATACACCTTGCTGATGAGTGTCAACTGGCACGAAACCTAGGTCGAGCAAGGCTTTAAGCCGATTGTCTCCAACCGTCTAATGTCATCAGAATGATACATTATGCACCATGATTCGTAAAAAACCAGATCATTACTCTCGGGTTAGGCATGAACTGATGAAGGATTAATTGAGTAGAAATAATGTTATATTAAAATTTTCGTAGTTTTCTCTAAGTTACTTTCCTTTCACAATTAACTGTCCAGTCAATCTTAACTGGTAGTGATAAACAATCTGCTGAATATCTCAATAACTTTGCCTTAAGAGTATTTGGGATACTTTAAGTGTTTAACGTCATAATAAGCCAGATGACACATTGTATATAGTGTAATGACTGTAGGTGAAATAAAAGTCTGAATCGTGGTAGGATTCGAATCAGCGCTCTCTAATTACTTGTCTTGTGTTCTACCAGTTGGTACTAGTTGAGATATAACTCCTGACTAAGTTGGCATTTCACTACAGTCACCATAGATAATGCTCAGCTGTCGTGGTGATTACAATGAAGTGAAATAATGATATGGTTAGCAGTTGGATTTCGTGAATCAGCTAGCCAAATTCTGAACTAGTAATTCAGATGTCACGTGTTCAAATCATGAAGCGAGCCAGACTTACTTTACACTTTTAACCATATTATCAATTACATAATTGCATGGAGGATTTAATCATGAGCTGACATCAGTTAGAGAACCACTGGAAAACCTGGGAGTACTGGACAGCTGTTTCGTCCTAGTTTGGGACTCCTCAGTAGTACGCACCCACCGGGATTCGAACCCAGGACCTTCTGGTTACAAGGCGAGCTCGTAGACCATTGAGCCACTGGGACCCGATCCAATGGTCCTTGAATTCTAACTTCTGCCAGTCCTCCATACAATCAAACAAAATCCCTACAAAAACCAATACTTGAAAATTACATAATTAGCAGCCTGCCAAACCAAGACCATCTCAGTTAGTCACATTCTCGACTGTATGTTTATGCATTTATTTTATTTTTCTTAATATGTCTATTCATATTTTGTTGCTGCATTTACTTTAGGGTGTCGCCGTTGGTAATCCAGTAACGAGTTTCAAGCTCATTGATAATTCAATGTTATATTTTGCCAAATATCATGGATTGATAGGTGAAAAGTATGTTTGTTTTCTCGCTAAATAATCATCACTTTATTACGATTTAAATGCTTTTCTGATTGCATTTATATTTTAATTTGTTTATCTTGTATTTTGTTGTTGAAGATGAGGCACGGATTACACTAAACATATTTTATGGGATACTCATTATTATTCTGTATTAGGTGACTCTCCTAATCTTGCCGCATTTGACAATCTACCTGCTATCTCGGAATGACGTGCGTTGAGATGAAGACTACTTTCAAAGTAATTATCAGAAGAATATCTAACCTGATTTCATAAAGGCGAAAATGATGGCCCTTTGAGATTCTGGTATTAGTCATTTAATGAATAAGTCGATTTAAACAAAGATGTAAAGATTGTATCCAGGCGCTCATAATCTCTTGTGTCATCTTTACATTCGAATTCTTGATCTTCTTGTTGAGTTCGGCTTTTACTAACAGGTGTTGGCTTCTTTCCTCTCCAACCCGTCTTATTCATGCCGTTTGATGTTATTCTGTCTTTAGGTGTTACGACCATTTACAGGACATATTTTGTCAACCTTGCTGCTACAATCCTAATTGATGACATTTGTTATCTGTCAACTCGTGTGTTTTATATTGCATTGTGGGATTCGCTGAACCAGTCATTCGTTGAAGCAAGTCATTGAACTGAGAAGCTTATTTCTTCTAAGAAAATTAATTATTTCCTGACAAAGTATAACTACTCATAACTGAAAGTAACTTCATAGATTCAGAAGAGATTCCCCCACCGAAATGTCTTGATGGTGATATGCTTGAATTAGTGGATTACCTGAATTTTAACTCAGCGTGATGCATCACATTTTCTGTAACTCTTACAGTCAACTATAACCTTGAGTAGTCTTGACTTTCAAACTACCGGTGTGCATTTCGCAAAGACGAAGGAGAAAGTATCATTAGGGATTAACCTGTGTTTCATGTCTAACAGCACTGCGTCACGTGAGGTACTGTAGACCGCTATTTTACTTGGGGATCCTGGATGAAAAAAAAATATCATGCAATAAATTACCCTGAGAATTCTGAACACTGTGTAAACATTTTGTGCAGGAAAAGGCTGCCACTTATTTATTTTGACACTAATCAAAATTATTCCAGATCAATGGGACTATTTATTGCCATGATTCATTCTTCATTCGTATCAAAAAGCACACACGAAATCTGTTTAGAGCTTAAGCTGACAAATACAAAATGTTCTATGCATCTCTCAGTATACCCCAAATGACTCCACAAGTTCACTAAATAACACTGAAAGTCAAGGACTGATTCCCAAGAATTTCTCGATACTTTTCAATCACTTTACAATAGCAACCTATCTTTGATTCACCTACTGAAAGCACAAAATGACATCAGACTATGAGGTTAGATTCACATAGTGAGAAGTGTGTGTGATTAGTGCAGGTCCTTGCTATGACTGGAGCTAATTTACATTATGCATCTCACGATAACAATTTAATATAATAATGTCGTGCAATTTTTGCTTGATTTTCTTCCTTATCATCAAATGTTCAACGAAATTCGAAATCACATGTAATTGTTCTAACTTCCCATCATTATTCCAATAACACTTTCCCTCTATCTGTGTAGTGGATATACTTTACAATATTTACAAGTGGTTTGTTACCTGTAACACGTTTTTGGCTGAAATTATAAGATATAATGTTACGCAATTCAAATACACTGGAATGAATACGTCTAAATTGTCGTTGGATCATAGTATTGTCTGTTTGATTAGCCTAACAACATACTACGTATCCTCAGCCTTTTAACTTTGAATTTATAAATGATGAGAAATGAGAAAAGAACTAGAATTTTGTATTGTGAAGAGTTGAAGCTGTTTAGACCAGCAGAACACCACAGTTTATAAGAAATAGAAACTAGAAGTAGAAAAGGGAGAAGAGGGATTAAAACTAAGCACAATTTGAGTAAACTAACACTGACTAAATTAATATCATTAATTTTTCCTGTCACAAACTGTTTCTACTGCATTGATTGTTGAATGGTGGAATGCTTTTCAGGCAGTCAATTGGTCAAGATCCGTTTCTTAGCTAAGGTAGTCGTAAACGTCGCCTTTTCATCAGTCTGTATTTAGCGTGGAAGAGAGAGAGGATTGGGTGTAGTGTTTGAAAATCTACCCAGTTTAAACAATACCAACAACAACACCGAAGCTTCAAAACTTGAAGACCTTTGTCCCATTTGAAAGGCGACAGATGGAAACCAGTTTTTAAGAGAATCACAAGCCTGACATCTGTGGAACTCACATGTGTAACTTACTTTCAAATGTGTGACAGAACAAACCAACATAAGGGTATTCGGTTGTATTCTTCTTAGCTGTATTTTCGAATCATGATCCATTATACGTTTCGCATAATGTGCCAGTTATTTGGCAAATCTTATTACAGTGGATATAGTAGATCAACTGTGATTTCAAAGTGTCTTTATTCAACATAACAAAGATGTTATTTCTTCATTATCTAGAGTGTGGAATGATTTACTGTCACATTGTTGTCACAGTAAATATTATACTCGTTGTATGTTCACTGATAATCATTCGGACAAGTGCCAACGTTTAGTAAGTCATACCATTTTTGAATTACTCCATTACTGTCTTTTGTTCATCTGTTTTTAATTGATTATGTGAATACATACAGACATATGCACATGTCGACTTTGGGACGATGAACTCATAGCTTATCATTGAGGTTCCACTTGAGGACCTGGTGTGTGTTGTCACTCAGTGGTCTTCTCAGAGTATGACTAATTTGCCTCCATGATGTTCTGCGAATCTGTCCGGCAATAGGTTCTTAGTTAGTTCGCTGACAGAGCTCCATTCCACCTGCTGTCACAGATTCGTAACACTTCTATGTCATATCTTTCCACCTGTTTTGCAATCTAAGCAGTCTTACTACCCTCAAACATTGTGCGGATACCCCATGTCCCTGTGCTTACCTTCGCTTTCATCAAAAGAAGTCACATCAGCCAACTAGATTCTCGAAGTTACTCATCAGCCGATGTCATTCATCCTTTCAGATTCCAGGGAATGACGTATTTAGTATACAATTGGTGGATGGTGGCTAGCAATTGTATGCTAATTAAATGCCCAGATATCGTCGAAGAATCTGCTAAAGAAGCCGTCATGTCAATCTGAGACCAAGCACTTTGGTCGAGTCAATCGACGGGAAAATCAAAAATTCAATTCAATGACAAATTTATTCTTTGTACTTCTTTTGTGTTTTGAAGTTTTCGTAGAGACTGGCTTTATTTTCCAGGTTAGAGTCTCTAGCCTCAATCCCAGTAACCTATTTTTTTCCTGCAAGGAGGAAACTAAAGAAGGCTATATACGTTTACACATGTATACGATATTCTTCCTTGTTTTTCTTTCCTTCAGGAGTTGATACATAGATTTTTTTCAGAAATCTTTCCAGGCATGTTTTCCAGTGTTTATATTGGCTTTCTCTTGGGTTCCGCGTTGAACATAGAGCTTCAGCAGTGTATCACCACTTCATTGTGTTCTCCGAAGTCTGTTTTACGCGGCTCCATGGTTGCCCATAAGCTTTCACCCCCTCTTCACACAGTATCCTCCATTTCCCCCTTGGATACCCAACTCGTCACTCGTTGCCAATTCAGCTTCCATGTGAAGGTAACACGTCGCATGATGTAACTCGAAAGTTTCCTCAGTGTATGTCCAACCCATCTCTATGTCGTCCCACACATTTGTTGTATGATTGGTCCTCAGTTGATTTGTTCTCAGAGTTCCGTTTAGTCTCTCATTTCTGACCATTCAGCCTTCAATATGAAGTGAAGGAGGTTGTTAATGAAAGTTTGCAGTGGCTTGTAGGAAATACTTTTGGTGGAGAACGTGGTAAATATCTAGCTTCACATTTGTGTGGAAAATTCCGACGTTGTTCATCACGCTGAGTGCAGCGAATTTCAATACTAACTGCAGAGTAATGATAATCTTTTTTCCTTAGCTGATCCTGGCTGCTTTCAATGTCTTGCTCTATGGCGCCTGTAGTTGAAATGATGCCACCTAGGTAATTTCGCTCATCACAATTCTATTTTTGTATCCTTTCTTATGTGATTTTGTTTCAAGTAACTCCAAAGTTCTACCTTCACTTACCTGCTAATCATTCCCAATTTAGTTACTAAAGCCATAATCATTTGATTTTGGGGATCTAGATCATTGGCTTAGGCATTCAACTGTGAGTCTATAGGCTCAGGGTTCGAGTCCCACTCATCCTAGGCAACTGGGTAGTTTCACTAGCCTTCACTAGATAAGTACAACTGACAGCGTGGTACATAGGAAGTTTGACCAAGGTAACTAATTAGTTGTACACTTTCTCGATTACGTGATATGATTCATTATTTTCCATATATCGCTATTTCTCAAACACTTTGACCCATTTTGTTACTAACTGACAATTACCTCTGACTTCTGTTACCAATTAAAATTGTACATATTGACCCCTAGACAGCTGTAGAATGTTGAAGTCACCTCTTTGTTGACCTATGTGTTCTTAATTGCATCATATGGAAATCATTCACATCTTGCATAAATCCTCTAAATATTATAATTGATATTTTAGTGAAAATAACATTCGCCTGCATTAAGATTTTGATTATATAATTATTTTTAGATCAGCTATATATCAGAAAATGTCACTATTGGATTAAATGTATACAATAAATATGATCGTTGTGGTGGTGTTAAAAGTATGACCAATGAATACCTTATGAATATATATTCAATGTCTGTTAACAATTCCTATCCTGGTCCACTGGTACATAGTGATTTTGGTAATCACTTTCGGAACAATAAGTATGTTCAAAAGAAACGTGAATTAATGTAAGTTGTTGATATTACTGAGTACAGAGTTCAATTTATTACTGATCCTTCTTCTTCTTCTTCTCCATCTTCTCATGTAGTACATTTGTACTAATATTTACATTGTACAAAAGACGGCTAATGAAAACTTATTTGTAAGATGCTTTTTGTATCACGACAATCCGAATGTCATAATTATCCTTCATTTGCTGACTGAGAAATTCATATTCATGTGCTGTGTAATTGGATATTGTCAAATTTCAAAATTGTTTGACATCTAATATGTCTGTAAAATGTGCGTCGGTGGCATAGCGGTTAGGACGCTCGCCGACCATGCACATGGTCCGGGGTTCGATCCCCGGCCACCGACGCACTCCTTTACCTCGCTAAGCCAGAAATAATGCTGGCTGGTACAGAGGAAAGGTTGGGCATAAGGTTAGCAACGCCATCCTGTAAAATAAACACTGCCACAGAAACTTCAGGTAATTAGCTTGAAGCCCTATATTCCACTGAGGAACGTGAAGGAAAAAACAATGTCTGTAAAAGTTGTAAAAATTATAGTTCCAGTGAGCGTTGACTTAAAGTGTAATATATGCCTTTAGAATGCAGAAATAGATCAAACATGCCACGAAGACAAACCAAATGAATGCTTATCGAGGAATAGCTGGTTCAATATTTTATTCGCAGCTGACTCAATGAAACAGTTGTTGAAATGCATGAAATATTCATCTTGGTTTCTTTATTCTTTGAATACCAATGACTTGAAAACATTTACATATACCTATTAATTCATTCATATATCGTCTGTAAATTGTTATATGTATTATGTGATCATGGAGAACTACTGGTGCCAAGATTGTATGAAGTGTTATTGCATAGTAGCTTATCTTTTTGTTTAAAGTAACACATTTAGAATTTTTAGGTCAGTAGCACAAAATCTGTTTACAAGATTACTTAAGTATACATTTTTCGAAAGAAAGTTACACTACTGAAATCTGCCATTTATTTTCATATTATAACACCGAGTGAACAGTGACTGCACTTCCTTTCTACAAGATCTACTTAAAATGTCGTTTTAATGATCTTGGAAGTCTCTCTGTTTATCGCCTCCGTTATACTGACATAAACTTTAGAAAGTGGCGAGGTTATTCTCGATTTTCTGCATAAACTGTATCACCGCATCATATTTAAGCATATGTGTCTGATCTACCGCATCACTTTATACTAACATAATAAATAATCTGATTTGTTTTCATGGCATATTACTACTTGTTTTGAGCATTTGTATTCAAACAACAAATACGAATCTTTAGCATATATATATAATATTTTAAATATTATAAAATAGTTTATAAAGTGTTTTAAAGTGAGTTTTGGATTGTTTACATGTTTTGATATATATAATCAAAAGTTTTAGTTTTGGAAAATAAAAACATCTAAGTAAATTAGTATACAACCTTTTTGTGCATATAATGCTTATTTTCCATTGACTTTTGAATCAATTCATGTCATGTCAGCTGAATAATCACCAAACAATTGGAGATTACAAAACAGTTACTTTTAATTTTATTTGCAACTCTCTGATGATGTGTAGAAATAAATCTAGTGCTGATCAGTGAATAGCTTTGTGCAGGTTTCCAAAGTTTCGGAGGTCATACATGAGAATAACTACTCACCATTGTGATATGGTCATAGTTGCAGTGTAATAGTGATGGAAAGAACTTGGAAGTGCGACAGATAGACTTTTGAACTAGTCGCTGAATGGTAAGGCGATCATCAGAAGGTGTTTAGACATGTTTGTAATATATGCATATACAGTACTACAAAATCTCTAAGCGGAATGGAATATCTCCGAAGTGCTGTCTGCTTTTTGGCTCTCCAAACGATAACAAACTAATGTTGAAAACCTTTTTGAAGTCAGAAATGGTTCTTGCAAATACCCCTCAATAAAATATTGAATTAATAGCACCAGTCATTTGAACATTCTTATACGTGTAGCCTGAAGTGAAATCTAAAGTGTGGCAATTTCTACATAGAGTCAAAAATATTAAGATTATTGAATTAAAATCATGGTGTTCAGTTTACTAAGAAACCATTCTGTAGAAACACTGATAACTATTAATTACAGTGCCAAACCAGATAGTGAACTATCAAGACATTTTAAAACTAGAACAGACTAAGTCGTCATTCTTATATGTGTTTGGTATTTTATCAGTGGAAACATTCATCTTGCAATGAATACAGTAAATTGTAGCATTAGAACTGCATACACTTTGCTGAATAACTATCGAAAGTGTTGGTTAAAAGATGAGAAATTGACAACGGTAGTCTTTTAACAGATGAAGGGATTACTAGAGCAACTAACTAAACAGTAAGCTTATAACTGTCATCAGTTCGACCATTTAAATATGGATTGTAAATAATGGAAGCGAAAAGAGTATAATGTAGGATAAGCTCGGTTGGTTTAGAAATACTGTTTGAATATCTAAAGTGGAAAGCGTTGTATTCTTACAATGATGAAGGAAGATGTCTGCCAAATAATACTCTTTGGAGAAGATAACTGAGTACAAATTTCATTGAAGTAAACTCTGTAAATTCTTAAGTGTTCTAAGTTCTTTTGAACACAACGGCCAATTTGGGAGGTAATATATATATTCGTAAACTAAGAATACATTTTATCTGACCTGGTACCAGGCTGGGAAAGAGTTGTGAGTGGTCAGATCAAAGCCTGACATCAGTCCATGGTGGGAGCCATCTAGGAGGGTGTAGACTGCCAGGTTACGGTCTAACGGCTGCAGATTGTGAATGACATAGCCTGAAACCGTTATCATCATTGACACACATGCACTTGCTCTCTGTTGTCTGCAATATCCAATAAACCCTCTTGTTTTTCGCTTATGTTACTATCCTGCTCATTATAGTTTTCTTGGATTTTTTTTCTCCACCTCTGAGTGCCACATAGAGTGTAGCAACCTGAACTGCCGTATCGCTTGCAAAGTCCTGTACGCAAACTCAGTCACCCAGTCAGTTGTAACAAACAATTTTGACCGGACATTAATTTGAAAATAATATTTCCCCCTTACATCTTCTTGCTGAAGTGTGATGTTTTTCGACGTTGTTTGTGTACTGTTTAAGTGAAACTTCTCAACTAGTAATCCTTACAATCTTATTTTTATGTTTGTACAGTTCTCAGATTCGAGAGAAGATAGGTGCAAAGTTGGTCGTTCCTTGTAATGATGAAAAATTAATTGCAAAGTACTTAAATATGCCAATAGTACGGAAGGCCATTCATCTAAGAACAGATATACCAGAAAACTGGGAATTATGCAGTGATGCAGTTCACACTATATATATATAAGGAATCACGAAGACCTAAGTCAAGAATGTAAGAAGATCATTGAATCCAAAGTGAGTTAGTTTTACTCATTCATTTATTTTGACTTTAAATTACCATGTTATTGTTTGAGAAATTACTAATATTTGTTCACTATTCAGGGTAAACAATTTTCTAAGTTTAACTGAATTTTAGATTTTCCCGTCGATTGATTGGACCGAAGTGCTCGGTCTCAGGTTGACATGTCGGCTTCTTGAGCAGATGCTTCGACGATGTCTGGGGATTTAATTAGTATTTAAATTGGTGGATGGTGACTGGAAGTGGAATCCAGGATGCGCATTTCGTCCTATTTGGATGAAGAGTTCGAAGAGATGTCAACAAAAATTCAACAGAATTCTGGCTTACTACATATTTAATCATCCGATTGTCACCCAATGGATGACAGTATTATTAGTTCTCCTATATTTCAACCACTTCTTATTTACTTAGTAGACGGTGGCTAATAGTGGAATCCAGGATGCCGATTTCATCCTAGTCGGCAGTCGTTAGATTGGTGTACCTGCAGTCTCCAGTGAGTGAGGCCACTCCAACGGAGATTCGAACTCCACACCCACCGTTTCAAACGTCAAGGAGTTGTTCACTAGACCACTTGGACCAGGCACACACAGATGGCGACTACTACTTAGGAAGAAATGCACCTCCAGGATTCGATTGTCAGACACCATCCACCGAATAACATCATGTCAATCTTTACGCCATCGAATTTTCTCTAGCAAATATTGAGGATTTCAATTCGATTAATCACCAGAACAAAGGCAAAATTAACTTAAACACTTCATATTTATTTGTCTTTTCAGGTCCCAATTCTTATCTATAATGGAGATATCGATATGGCTTGTAGTTTTATTGGAGACGAATGGTTTGTAGATGACCTAAACCTCAAGGTGAGGTTTTTGTAGGAAATTAAATACCGTTTCAAGATGAATGGGTGTTCTCTTCTACTCTAACAAATGTCAACTTACAAGTGTTGGTTTTGTAATCGTAGGGAATTTTTGTTTGATTGGTTGGAGGATTTCATCATTAGCTGACATCAGTTAGAGAACCATGGGAAAACCTAGGAGTACTGTCAGACAGCTGTTTCCCCCGACCTAGTCTGGGGCTTCATCAGTACGCACCCACCAACATGTTTCAAACCAAGAACATTCCGGTTACAAGGTGAGCTAGCTCGTAGACCACTAAGCCACTCACTGGAACCCTTTCCAATAGCCAGCTCATGACTTCTAACTTCTGCCAATTCATGACATAGCGCTACCACTTCTCAATGTCTTCTTCGATGAGTTAATGCCTCACCTTCAACCCGCTGCTCCCTACTGATCACGTCTTCCCACTAGAACCTTAGGTTAACTGCGTGAATAGGGCCAGTCACTAGTGAGCATCTGACTAATTTTCAAGTATTTGTTTTGTAGGGAAGAGGCCCAAACTAGGATGAAACGGCTGTCTAGTACTCCCAGGTTTTCCAATGGTTCTCTAACTGATGTCAGCTCATGATGAAATCCTCCAACCACATGGTAACTTAAACAATTATGCACCAATTGTGATAATAAATGACAATTATTGAAGTTAGTGGTTCATAGGTGATATAATTTGTAGGAATATATTACTTCATCATTTAGTATGTTGAACTACTCCAGTTCAATGCTTATAACATATCGAATCTAACTCTAATGTCTAAGATTTTCAATATTCCTCATGTAAGTATTGATCACATAAAGCCACCAAACTTCAAGCATTCCTTCATGTTCGGAGGGAGATGATATTACTGCACTTACAATCTTTCATAATCTCAATTTCTGGAATGATGAATATTTCCATCTTCCCAATGACTTTCCTGGGTTAACATCTAAATTTATCATACTTGGTTTGCTTCATTTTCAGTATGAGTATATGCGACTGTATTGTACAGCCCTATGTGTGGATATCAGAGTAACATAAAATGTTCTATCGATTCGTTTAATCCTCATTCACCTCCAACTACTTTGTTTCAACAATTTAGACATATCAGTCAACAGCTTCATTCTACTAACAGTCTTTTGTGTCACAAGTCTTTACAGGCTCTCAGAGCAGTTTATGCGCACAGGTGTTATGGAGTTTACTAACAAGCGTCATGAAATTTTCCCAGTAGCCTGCACTCCTTATGGCGAAATAAGAGTGAAGAGAAACTTCCTTGGAAACTAAATTAAACTTAAACATTATCATTATAATGGTTGTTCTGTTGCATTTTAATACCAATGTCAATCCAAGGGACTCTGTCATCAACTGCTCGTATGTATATTAGGTACTTGTTTTCACACATGAGCCTTTAAAATATTAGGAGCACACTCTAAAGTTGTACAGGATCTGTAGATTACACTACAGGTGGACAAGGAAGATCAAAGTCAATATCGTTGAAAACAGTATTCACTTGTTATGGACCACCATCATTCTGTTGATATCAAACAACTGTCAAAGCCTGTGTCGATATAAGTCTCTAGTTATTACTGACAATAATGAGGTCTTTTATGTATCTTGTATTGCATGGATTCATGTGAAACATGTTCATTCTATAATCTTTTAAATTTCATTGCTGAACCCAATATGCATTTTAGCCGCATGATCATCGACAAAGTTGGATTTACTTATCTGAAGGCGGTAGAAATCTAGTCGGAGGATATTGGAAGTCGTTTGTAGAGAACAACGTGAAGTTTACCTTTGCAACAGTGAGAGGAGCTGGTCATATGGCACCTAGAGATAGGCCTGATGCTGTGTATCATTTAATTTCATCTTTCATCAAAAACCAGCCTCTTTAATTATACTTCTATCTTTTGATGGTATTTCACAAATTCTGACTACGTGTTTTTTCTCTTCTTTTATATTTAAACAGTGAAAAGTGATTATTTCTGATAATATAGTAGCCCTTAATATTGAATTCTATGTAATCATGTATTAGTCAATAGAACTATTTTGCTAAATATTGCTTATTTCGCAAAGAAATAAGTGAGATTATTGATAGTGTTTTCTGTTAGTTTTGATAGATTCGTTTTTCACTTTTAACGTAAATAGGTGTAATACTACGCCTTCAGACACCGGATATCGGTGGTTTCGAGAATTTACACCTTCAGAATGTTGGTTGGCGTGAAATATAAGATAAATCTCACTCTCATAGCGTATGCTTTAACCGAAATGGTCAACCAGATTTGCATAATTTCTCAATCTTTTAATTTATCCCTGCTCACTTGAATAATGTTTTCAAATTTCACATGTTTTCCCATCTGTGTAGCAGAGATGCGATTCGTTTTCTTAGGGAAATGTTAAATACTCCCATTATTAAAATTAAAATAAAACATAAAAGCGAACAATTTTGTTTTCAGTTAGACTTTTCACAGGCTCTTTTTCCATATAAATAGCCTTAGTGTTATTAAAAGATGGAGTTTATCAGAAAAATGTCATGTATTTGAGTGATACAGTTCGGACATTGACTTTTGTGAGAATGAAAAATGGGATTATAAGGGATCTAGAAATAAGGAGGACAGGGGTTATTACGCCTCTTCATGAACTGATCGGACAAGAATTACCAACGTAAGTTACGGACTGTTTTTGTACACACAGAAGGGGGTGTGCGTGGTTTTATCAGTAGCTATGAACAAGTGTTCCTTTTTAAGTTTGGTTGATCTTGCTTTATTTTATACGCTGTTCATGTTTCGTGACGACTCATTTCGATCAATGCATTGTGCATGCATCCTAATCAATCTTTCAAGAAATCATACATACACCTTCTTGTTATCGCTTTTTTTGTGAGGTATCTTACCAAAGTGATTTTTAAGTGATTGGGTGTGTCAATAAAGAAATGTGTATATTGTCCTATGAAAGTAGCGATTACATGATAGTCTCCCTTGAGGCGATTTCGCGTTCTTCTGAATGAAAATCTAGAAAATATCATTTGTCTTCATTATTCTTCTGCACAAATGAAAATGAGTGAAGGGTGTGCATCACTGAATTCCAACAGCATCTCATTCTTTTTAGTTTTCTAATGAATAGTAATAAATATATCATCAAGAAAACGGTGATTACAATTCAGTGTATCTTTAACTTATTCCAATGGACCATTTTTCCATCTTAGTAAGGAAAACATTTTCCAAGATTCGACCTAATGCCATCTATTTGTCTCTCTCAATGTGGTAAAATATGAAATATAGATTCATACAAAGTGTTAGAATTAGTTCCTTGAGAATAAAAACTAAAATGCTGGCCTCAGTGTGATCTTCCAGTATCCGTTTGCATACGAATTCCATCGTCTCTATCAGTAGTACGTTAATTAACAGTGATGAAACATCTAAGTATAACATAGGCTTCCCGTTTACACTAACATCAGATATATTAGAAATAAACTCGAAGGTGCCATTCACAGTGATTTCCAACTTTTGTGTGCATAGGTTGGGAAGTTACAACTAGGCACTCTGCGACTGCATGATAGTTGTCATCAGACATGTTTAGAACTCGATGAAGAGGGAGTCCAGGCTTACGTGTTTAAGGCATACCATAAAATTATTCTTTGTAACTTCAAATAAGTTCAAATGTTATTTTATTATTATTGTTTTTATTTTCGATAACAGCTTGATTCCACACTGTATTATTGGTACAAGTATGGAATTTTCAGCATGGATATCTGTAGCCCAGATTTTGCAGGTCGACCATAGATATCAGGTGTGCGTCGGCAAGGGATCGAACCTCGGACCATGTGCATGGTCGGCGGGAGTCCTAACCACTGTGCCACCGAAGAGAATTGTAAAGGGTATCTTTCTGCTGACTATAGTTTAGACATCAGGTATTTATTGCCAGCTGGTATTTAAACCAACCGCTGTTAGCTGATGTCATTCTCAGTCGTAACATTAATATATGAATACAAGTAAGTAAAAAGAACTTAGCTGATTGAAACATGATTTTTCTTTTTGGCACCATCATTAAAATACAGAAGATGGCTATAAACTCCACATGACAGTTAAAATTAAATAAATGCTATTTAACTTTATTTAGAATCATTTGTAGTATCTCAGACGGTCAAATTTTTGTTCAAGCAACGAATAGTTATTTAACCTTTTTAGTGTGTTTCAACAATATTGTCAGACAAAAAGATTAATCACGATTACTAAGTCATTATTATATGCAGTTATGGTAGTTTCCTGTTTATTGAACTAATTTAACATTTATAGAATGTTTCCCAGTTTTTCGTCGCACTCTTACTGTACATGATCTTCACTTAGTGCTAATAAGACATACTACGTCATATTAATAAACTGTATGAACTAGTAAATAAACGTATTCCGGGTATAAGCCGCTTTTTGGCATCTTCAGGATTTGTCTGTAAGAGATTCCTTAGTTGCAAGAATAAGTAAATGTTAGATTGTAGTTCATTATTTTGGAATCTGAATGCTTCCATTTCATTCTGGGAGAGCAAACAATATGTAAACAAGAGTTATTAAAATAAATACACGTAATAAAATAATTCAGTGGTTAGACACTGAATAAACTTATTTCCAGTATAAAATGATATCATTCTATGTCACAGGTTCTCATCAGCTGCAGACTACCTGAAATTACAATGGTTTTATAGATGATAATAACATACTTTAAATAGACAAAGGACAGCAAATTTACTACGATTTGCCGAAGCAATCGCAATCAGACGACTTAAACCAGACTTATACATACAGAAAAAGAGTGTGATTAACCTCTCACTCCCTTGGTAACAGAATTTTGATTTTGATTAGTCATCTAATTCAGTGATCTCAACTCACTGAACAAATCTTAATCTCATAAACTGTAATCGCTTCTATTTTTTGAGTTGCTATGTGAACCTGCAAGCTAACACTGTTCTGTTAATCAATTTTTCTGTTTTACCTCTCCCCCCTCTTTTCAAATTTAAGAGCGTATAAATTGATGATGAAAACTTAAACTAAAAAAATTGTAATGCTTTCATTTTGGATGCGTCAATTTTATAGTATCTCTTCTCTACCACCACTCAAACATTAAAGTATGTTATTATCATCTATAAAACAATTGTAATTTCAGGTAATCTGCAGCTGATGAGAACCTCTGACATAGAATGATATCATTTTATACTGCAAATTTCGTCTTCCTTTCTTTATCGAAATTTATCAAAAGAACCAAAGGTTTAAACTTATTTCCGCTTAATCGAACAAACTACTTACTGTTAGATAGTAGTAAAACACCTTCAAATATTTTCTCTAAATTAATTGGCCACTGGTTAAAAATTACAGTGTCATAAAATACACGGTATCATCCTTGACGGCTACTGATTCCTTTCTATATCATTTGTGGTTCTATACGTAAAAATGCTTATTACCAGCGGTCCAAGTCAAACTGATTTCTTCATGCATTTATTCCCCTTGATGAATTTAAATAAAGCAAGAATAACAGTGGTTTGTGCAGAATAATATGGTACCATCATTTATGTCGTTGGCATCTCATCAGCTGCTTACAGCCTAAATAAATTATGAGGTTTAAGTACAGAAACGTTTCAGCATACTTGCAAATTTTACATGTTATCAGTTGACAGAAAGTTCCACAATTACTGAACAGTGCTCAGAAAATTGCGCTTATGTAGTTTTTACACAGGCAGTTCAAGTTTAAACAAAAACAAATAAATGTATGCATATAATGGTAAAGGAGTTACGTATTAAAGATGAGATATGCGTTGGATGCATAGTGACTAATAAGTTAGGTAACACTGTACTGCGTTGAACTCAAATCACTGAAACAAGAGACAAGCAAAATTACAGATTATAAAAGGGGGGTGAGGTTAAGGACAAAGATTACGTAATCAGATGAGAGAATAAAGACATCCTGTTGCCAAGGTGAGGAAAGACTAATAACTGCTTCTTTCTGAACACATAAATATGGCAGGAGGCATGACTTTTGTTGTTGCATACTACAAATGTGTCATCGACATATCGACAATAGGAAGTTGTTTGATCATTTGCATGCTTCAACTTCGTTTTCTCAAGGTTTGACATGAAGATATCTGCTAAAACAGGACTAAGTGGACTGCTCATAGCTATACCATCTATTTGTCGGTAAAAAGTGTTGTCAAACTGGGATTGTACACCCACGGTACACATTAGCAGTAGGCATTTGAATTCTGGCTCCCTGAAACACCCTAAAAACACCAAGTATATAGTAATCGCAAAGTCAGACAAAGGAAATGCAACAGTAGTATTAGACAAATCAGACAATTCTCACATACAAACGGGATCATATGAGGAAATTAATAAATCAGTAGAAACAGTTATGAATAAAGTTAAGAAATTCACAGGGGACCTTATACGCCGAATGAAGCCGTTTCTAGGTGAGTCTAAGTGGTTTAATTTAATGCCCAAAACTAATGACCCCAGTAGGATGTAGGATGGTGTTGTTAAAATTCATAAGTCAGGATACCCTATTAGACCTATAGTTGATTTTAGAAATTCAACTACTTATGAATTATCTAAATATTTAGCCATGGTATTAAATCCCCTAAAAAACACTCAAATTAGGGACGTAAATATTGACGTAAAGTTCTGTCTATCAATTTGGCTAGCGGCCAGCGCTCACCACAACAGAATCATTTACTGGATGACGCTTCGAACACGATTTATTGTTCCTAATCATACCAGTTATTTGAATATATATAAATACGTGCAGCAGAAGTGATTCGGCACACGTCCCAGATATCTTGAGGATTTTAATACCCTCAAAACGAATAGGAAGGGATAAAGAAGCTGAAATTCACGCTATGTATCCAAAAAAGTACGTCCAACCCTTGTAACTTCCATGGCAATCAAAAATAGGTACTTCTTTAAATAGTGACTATCCAATTGCCTTTCGTATCTAAACACCATTTTCATTCATGTCATTTATAAGTCTTGTTAATACTAATTTGCACTACCACATTTTCATATTCGAACTTCCTGTCTATTTTGTCATCTTATTATTTGCACATATTTAATCCCTCAATACATTAAAAAGAATTCGTCGGCGTCGTTAAAATACAAATAGACTTGTTTATCCAAACACCGTGTCAATTTTGATATTTTTATATTTCTAAAACAAAATCAAAATTAGGGTAAATATTACAGTGAATAAGATGCGATTATACATACATACAAAGGGATAACTGCCACAAAATGGAATCAAAAAACATGGCAATCAGAACATTCGAGAAAAAAGCGGATAAAAATCCTAACAAAAAATGAGAGACGACTCGTCGAGACAAACGATCAACTCAACTGATAC